GGGGAAGGGGCTTCCACGAACCCCCCGACATAAACCCTGACACCTTATCAATACAAATCTCTAACGAGGGCCCTTCTGCAGAGCATAATGACTGCTCCAAGTTGCTGCAGGTCTGGAAAGCATGCCAGTCACAGCCACAGATCAATTCTACACCCACCGAAAGTGACTTAATAAATGGAACCTCGCCAGTTATTATCCTTGCTAACAGCAGGCCTCTTCTTATTTGTCCTAATTAGCAAGACTGAAATGTCGGAGGAAAGAAGGGGAATATTCAATAAAATCTAAATTATTGAATGACTGTAAGATTTCGCCATTAGTTCAGCCATTCTTTACCTTCTTCAAAATGTCAAACAAATGGGGAACGCATATTTGCAACCCTGCCCTTCTGTTCTCTGCAACTGGAGGGCATATATTAAGCATATTAAGCCTATTCAGCTCTTGATCGTTGTCAAAACAGTGCAATTGCCTCACGATTATTAACCTAGAAATATGCAAATGAGGCACGCTGCCACGTGTTGTAGGGATGCTAAAGTAATATTTATCTTGCGCCGAGCTAGTCTTGGGGATGTGTTTGCTAAAGAGCGACTGGAAGCCCCGAAGATGCTGCAGGACGGGCTGGCTGAGGGTGGGCAGCCTCCTGAGCAGGGCAGGCGGGAGCTGAGCCTGCGATGCGCGGGGTGGGGAGAGCTGCCTTCTCCCGGGGAATCACCCCGAGCTTCCTCCCGAGCTGCCGGTGCCGGGCTCCGGCTTGCCGGGAATCTGCCTCCAGAGACCGTTTTCTCAGCCGAGTTGCAGCATCCTTTTCCAGCAGCTCACCGCGTCCCGGGCCTCAGCGGCCGGAGCTTGAGGGACTCTCCTCAGGCCCCCCCAGCATCAAAGGAAGGAGCTGGCAGAGGGGACCTCCTTCTGCTCGCACCTCCCACAGCTATCCCAGCTTTGCTGATGATTTTTTTTTTTCCTCTTTACACACATCGAAGGGGAAAATACAGGGTGCCAGGTCCGAAGTAATTCAGGAATGGCTGCAGTTCGGCCAGGTGGATCTAGTTCTCCACCCCAGCGGGATGCTGTTTAAACTGACGATATTAATAATGCTGACCTACTAATGTTAGCAACATTGATGAAGTTGTTGAGAAATTCACGCACTGATTAGAGGGCGGGGTGAGGTGGAGCTAGCCCCCTCCCCAGGCATGCCAGGCACTTGGTCTAGATGAAACGGGACCCCTCGGGTTCAGCCCCAGCCCAGCCCTGAGCCCAGACCCCCCTCCCCAGGGTCGCGGAGGTCTGCTGGGGGCAGGCGGGGGTGGCCTGGAGCGGGGGTCGGTCGGGGTGAGGAGCCCGTAGGGTCTGCCCGCTACGAGGAAGGGCACGGCTGCATGCAGGAGCTGCGGATACAGACCTCTCCTCTCCACTTTCACCCGGTAGCAAGGCTTAAATGAACCTCATTAGTGGGACGACCCGGCTAACACATACACCTCTGCCCTGGGGAACCAGGTAGAAAGGGCTGACGCTATTCACGAGGAAGCGGGACAGGTTGCCCAGAGACGTCGGAGGAGGGATTTAATCTTTTGGCGCAGGAAGAGGTGGGATTTGAGGGGTCTGTGCCACCCTGAAAAGAAAAAAATATCGAAAGAGTCGTTTCTCACCCAAATCTTCCACTCGAAGCGTTGGTCGGGAGACCGAGAACACGCAACATGTCCCTCCCCCATCCCCTCGCCGGGATGCTGACCACCCGTGGACCGTCCCCAGCCAGGGACCCGCACGGCATGGTGCTGGAGCCGGTCCCCCCCGCCCCGGTCCCCGCCCTGCGCCCGGGAGCGGCAGAGTAGAGCTGTTCCGTCTTATCTTAATTGTCGCGTATTTACTCTGCGGCTCGGAGATAGCCCGGTGCTTGTAACTCGTTAAGAGGGTTCCTTCTACGCTTCTTTGGACTCCCAAACTCTGAAGCATTTTTCCACATACTGTTTTTTTTTTCCCCTTTAGTTTTTAGCCCTAAATATAGCTTAGCAGGCTATGATCTAACCAAGGCACACGCCGGGGCTAGACATCTCTGGCAATTCCTAGGAACAAGTCCTTCTGGGTGAGAAGGGAGTCCGCAGCCAAACACGCACCCCAGCGTCAGCAGCGCTGCTTACACATCCCCCCCGCCGGGAGCCGGGGCTGACATTTCTCACGCGTGACACAAACTTTCTCCGCGGAGAGTTAGATTTAACTCCAAAACGAAGCATCTGCAGACTCCGAGCGCTCGGGAGCCTTTGGAAATGGCTCCTTCCTTCCGTGTCTCCCGCACAGAGAACTCCTCGGGTAAAGCTTTCTGACCAGGGGTGTTGCCACCAACCGCCTTCGGAAGGGCCCTGTCCTCCGTGTCAGGAGAGTTGTTTCAAAGCAAACAAACCTTCCCTTAGGGAAGGGCGAAATCTCTCCCCCCCCCCAAGGCTGCTGCAGCCCCCAGTTCCCGGGAGCCGCTTTTTGGCGCTAACAAGCA